AAAACAACAACGGTTTTTGTGGGGGCTAAGGTCAAATATTAGGCCACTGCCTAGAATTTAACCCAAATTTAAACAGGAAATGGACTAGTCCGTATAAGTTCTTTTTGTCCCCAAGCATCCTCTCTGAAGACCGTCTATGAGCATTCTGGTAAATATTTATCAACTTCACGCACACGCGAGGTGGTTTTTAAAACAGCACTAGACGTTTCAAATTGCACTGTTGTCCATTCAGTCGAAACTCGCACAGTTGAGCTGTTAGTACCATCGTGAATAGACACTTGTTCGCTCCAACAATGTAACGTTTGTCAAGGATAACAAAGCCTTAAGAAGGGTTGGGCGGCGGTCGGACGTTAAGGGAGAAACTTCACTACCGGTCGTATGTAATGGAAAAACCGACTCACAATGCTAAGGCCATGTTGTTATGATTATATGGATGCCATCCTTCGGGAACCACTAAAACTGATGGAAGCGTGCGAATAAAAAGAGTTTGGCCGGCAAAAAAAATGTTCGTGGTCATGAAGGTTGAACAAATGACTACACACACTACACAAAGAGTATAGTGTGGCAAATTATAGACTCTTTTCGTTGGAATTGCAAATTGATTTTGGTATTCTACGACACTATCATCTTTTTCCAATTTTTTTTTCACATTCAAGGCATATATTTGCTACTTTCAAAACATTTTTGGCATTAAACGTCATTATCAGACATTCTCTTCCAGAATGCTTCTGTTTTGCCACCTAACTTGCATTGGATGCCTTGAAACATATAATGCATTCAAGACATGAGCGACTAAATGCATGAGTGAGGGAAGGAAAGAGAGCGAAAAGAAAGAAAAGCCTTACCTCAGGAGGTCTTGAAAGCCGACTAGGGCGTGTGCGAAACGCAATTCTAAACCGAACAAAAGGTAACCATGTTTCCTCTTTTGTTTGTTTTGCTGTCAAGTAGCTTTTAAGCACGTTGTTGATCTTGTGACGCCAACCAAAGCCTCCGTCATAGTCGGAATGAGAAGGCGACAAAAACCTTGCCATGTGGCCTTTCAACTGAGGATATACGACACTACAGGAATAAATGGCCAAAACACATGGCTTACGGTGATTAATGTTCATTAATTGACCAGTCTTAACAAGATGCTATTCAAACTAGTAACACCTGTTCCCCACTTGCACGTGTGAAATGCCAGGCAGCAGCATTGACCGTGGAGTTTATATTAAGGGACATGACAGGACGTTTTGTACTGGTATTGTGCAAGGTGTCTGCTAGGACAATTCCTTAACACGAAGTAGTGTGCCTTGTACAAAGGTGTATGTATATTAGGGTCGTAATCTATTGCAAGGTATTGAGTTAGATTGTTATGTTACATGCTCAACTTGATACTTAGAAACATAGATTGATAAATGCAAAGGGACGTTCAGCCAGGGCTGGCTTTAGTTTGGAAGCTACCTACCTTTCTATAAGAATCGAATCGAGCTTTTGCTAAATTTGAGTCAAATTTGATCATGGCTACCAACCACGCCCCAAACTACTCCCGAACACTAGCCAACATCCAGCCAATCTGGGGGGAATTCGGCTAGTGTTTGGGAGGCCATATTCGGCTACATGTATGTTTGTGACGGGCTTTAGTCTTTTATTAAGTTTTACAGATGTGCTTTTCACATACATTGTTCAAAGTATTACGTGTACATTTTTTCTCCCATGTTTCAACGGTTTGGCATTAATTGGTGTCATAAAAGTTTTTATCATTTATTTATCTAGCTATAGCTACTAGTATTAATGCCGCTGGTGTACAGTTTATCAATAATATATTGTGGCGGCTTTTCTTTGTGGTTTAGGCCACAGCTACTGAAGATGAACTGCATATCGCTCTTTGAGGTTATTTCATTGCCACCGCTGCGTGAATTCTCTAGTAGCTAGATCTTTCTGTCACTAGTACCGTCCATAGAAACCCCAAGTGTGTGGTATGAGATATCTCTCGGATTGAATATCTTAAAGACAAAGAACTAACACCTGAGTATACAGTACAATCTTAGAGATTTTCACGCTTAACTAAGCGGAGTAAATTAGAAAGTATCGCCCGGAAACCTGTAAGTGTTTGGCGGTTTTTGCCAGGTGTAGCAGTGCATGTTGTCCCGGTGTTTCGAATGCCCGGGTGTAGCAGTGCGTGTTGTCCCCCTTCTCTTCTTATCCTACCCTTACATGGCAGCTAGAAATGTTTTTGAATAGATGAATACTAGTATAGTATAGTATAGTTACACATATATATTTACGATATCAGTCTCTTCTCTTTACATATTTAATACATTTGCATATTTTATCATACATTTTGCACATTACGTACATTAGTTGGTGAGTGACCATATTATATACATGTTTTGGCGTCCTAAAATGGCATTGGATGCCTTTAACACTTGGGCCCTGGGTTTTATGTAGTCCTTAAGTTCTTACTTTAAGTCAGTAGACCAGAACTGATCTTAATCTTCTCCTCTAGAACAGGTGTTCCAACTTGGGAACATGGGAAGACCATTAGTGGTCGCGTGCAGGGCGTCGCTCAGTTTCCATGGTCACGCTGGGCTATTCCACTTTAGTGTCTTAAAGGGGTGCGCTATCCTTATCCTAACTTTGAGAGGGGTATTTGGGGCAGAAGGAAGTAACTGAAAAATAGGGGACGAATTGTCTATTATAAAAAAAATTACATTTGGAAGAAACTACCTTATAAGCTGAAAGGAAACTTACTTTGTATTCTCCCCTATTCTTTTTGAAATGGAATATTCCAGTGATGGATGTTAAGTTAGTAACTGTAGCTGTCCACTATCCAGGACGCCACTTGAGTGTTTGTTAACACCGGAATTGAAACGGCCTTGTAGCGTTATGTTGGCTATACAGAACCTCCACCAGACCACCGGCACAGACACACACACACCAATACTACAATGCCGTGATGGTCTACAAAACCTTAAACAACAAACTGCCTCCCTAGATGCCCTAAATGTCTGTCCACTGAAGAGACCAAAGCACAAGGGCAACCAGACAAAAGCACAAGCAATAAATAGATGAATTGAAAACAAGATAGGTTCCCAAGTTTTAGATATTTGTATAGCAAAGGAAAAATTATATTCCTCATTAAAATCCATAGACCATGTATAGACATCGTTTAAGACAAATATCTTGAAACGACCTGAAAAGAAAAAAAGAAAAAAAAAAGAACGAGCTGGACAGGATTCGAACCTGCAACCTTCTGATTCCTACTCCTTCTGCACGTGTTTCACACTGCAGGTAGGTGAGCCGAAGTCAGACGCGATATCCATTACGCTACCAGCCCAATGCATAAAACTCCCGCACGATTCAAAGATAAGATGAAACCCTGCCTACACATTACCGGTAATCTCCGCAGGCTCCAGTGGTTACGGGAATACGTTACGGGAATACGGTAACAGGTTGTGTTAAAGGCATCCAATGCAGTTTCAGGGCGGCAAAACTGGATTTTCAAAGCCATTTTTTGGGTCATTCTTTTAACGTGGTGAGTTGAAACAACCTTATCCCATAGCATACTAATGTCTGTGAGGCAGAAATGCCTCAAGTATGAAATGATGGCAAAAATGCGCCAAGAAATGGCAGTACAAGACAATATCAGACAAGATTGGGTTTCCTCATCCAGAATATTTTTGTCGTCCTGAAATTGCATTGGATGCCTTGACGAAAGATTTAAATTTACCCACCAGTTAAAGCTTTTAGATTAAATATCTCACAAGTCACATATTGTGAGTTATTCAAGATCTTAGCATGTGATTTACGTTTCCTTTACTTTCAATCATGTTCATTTTTCCTTGTCAAATTTACATGGTTTTGTATCAAGATTCATAATTTTTATTGCTTTTATCTTTTGAGTCTCCCCCGCCTTGCTTGATATCTTGCTTGATATCGTCTTTGCTATCAAAATATCAAAGCGTAAGAGAAAATCAAGCAAGCGCTATACCTTGCGCCTACGCAATGCGTCATATGAATAGACGTTTCCAGCAGTGCAGCAAATAAAGGAACTAGGGCATCGGCATATTTCACATGCATTGTGACACTTGAATGCGTCCTCCCTGAGAATATATGGGAAAAATCTTCCCAGTAGAATACTAACCCATATTCCCTTGACTACAGATGCGTCAAGGCATGACAAAATATAATTCTTCGGAGAAATAACGTCAGGGAACGTAAACGCAGCCCAGTGCACCGCGAATTAAGGTTGACGTTTTCCGTTACGCGTTAAGACTACATAGATCTACCTGCCATATGTTTACCTTATGGAGACGTGGGTTGAATGCTGATATAAGAGCAAATTCGTCGACCTCTCCAAATAAGCCTTACGTTATAAAGCAGGGTATAGGTGGGAGGGGGGTTCACAGTGTATTATCCCGTGGGTGTATGACTTACAACAATAACGCACTCTAACATTGTTCCAATTTCGCACCAATTTTATGTGCCAAACGTGCTTTAATTTACTATCTTTTACCTCATGCTTTGACATAGCTGGTCTAACTCATCACATATTGTCATCAGAAAACAAGAACGTGCGTTTGAGGTACATACGGTACGTTTCCACGTTCTTACATGTACATCCTATAGGACGGCCATATCCTAATTAGTTTTAGCCAGAAGTTTATGTACAGGAAACGATTAACAATTCTTTTGTAAAATATCATATCACACACACACAAAAACTACCAGTAACCAGTGCTCTGCTTTTAACAACAGCTGAAGGCAGTTCGGTCATAAGTAGTGTTTACCATTTTCATGCATGTTGTTTTTTTATGCAAGAAAAATTCCACTGTTACACCACATTTACAAATCCTAGTATTTGTAATTGTCGATAGTGTAGAAAGTGTTCGATACATGTGCCACAGAGTTAGCAACTTGCTACAGTGGCATTTGTAGACTCAAGAGTGGCAGAAAATCCCTGAACAAAAAACAAAGACTACACCCCCTCCCAAGTATGTGTACACCTTTACACTTACCTCACACGCACACTTCAGTCAACAGCACTACGTCTTACAGGCACACGCTTCTTTCAAGTCTCGTAACAGCCGCTTGACAGGCGTCCTGTACGTCCTGTGTAGCCTAGAGTCCCTGTAAGAAACAGTATAATGTCTTGTACTACAGAAAAGTCGGCTTACAAGTACACAGTACCGAGAGCTAGCTCCAAGTGTTGCTTTGCCTCCGCACACGGCCCTCTTATACAGTCACCTGTGTAAGCTAATACTCCTTGGGGTTTTGTTTTCTTAGTACATAATTAAGTCTTCCTGTCCCATTCAGTGAGCGGTGTTTGGGGCTTTCTGTCCGGACAAAGCCGGCGCACGCCCGTAAGCACACCGGCGGGCGGCGCAAAACGACTTTCTCTTAAGTCTGATTGCTTCAGCCTTGGAGCTTTTAGAGCTGTAAATTAGTTGTCAAATTGATGGATTGATGAGGCGTAAGGTAAGACGTTTGTGTCTGAAAAGAAAGAGTTTGTGTGGTCTGAACGACGATTTGGTACAAAGGTTTTTTTCGCAGAACAAGAAAATTTTGTCGGCGTTCAACAGAGTACACAGTACTTATTTTCTTTGGAATTACGTGGAGTGGAAATTTGCAAGTAAGAAAGACATGGAAACAATGAAACAACGTCCAAATGAGTTACTAGTATCTAAGTGGCTAATCCACATTCTAGGAGGTGAAACTATGTCTGTTGACTTCTTCTGTGTATAGTGGAAGACACAATGTCCCACCTTTTCCATAATACGTAGGTTTTGGGTAGTCAAAAGCAAAGCTTTAAATACTCCTTTGTCATTAAGCTTTGGAAAGTTGGGATATATTTTAGAGGTTAGAGTAGATAACTCATTCCATGCATTTGAGTCAAATTTCACTGCCAACCACACCCCAACCTACTCCCAACTACAAGGCAACCGCCAGCCAACCATGGCCGGACCTCCCGTCAACACTCAGAAACATTCAGATGGCGCAGCCAAACGGTAGCCGACCTGGCCGAACACCAGCCGACCACGAGCCAACCTTGCTCCCGACCTATTCCTCACCATGGTCGGGGGGAGATCGGCTAGCGGTCGTGAGGCCATGTTCGTGGCGTGTGACAGGGAGACTTATGCTTGAACGAAGAGTCGGGAAGCGTGAACAGCCCGACGTGTGTGGGACTTGTGGCCAGCTTGTCATCACCACAGGAAACTACCAAGTTTTTGTTGCTCTAAATTTAGCCCCGAGCTGTTTGGAAACACAACAAAGGCACGGCTGGAAACACAAACCGGTCCTGTTACTGTCCGAGTAAACATAATCCGCCGCGCTGAACTTGGAATTCTTTTCTTTCCAAAAGGCGGGAAATTCCTGACAGAAAGATCGTCTGCGGCTGTGTCAGTCTACTCGGTCATGGTTCAACTTGCAGCAACTAAAGAGGAGTAAAAACCGGACTAAACCCACGCCAATTATGGGAAACCTAGCCTAAAAACGACCAGTAGTGGTATTCAAGGGGTCTGTATGGTTCAAGTCAGGACAAAACTTCTTACTGCTCGCTGAAAACAACACAAAACAGCAAGTATGCCGTAAGTGCAGGGCTATTGTACATGGAAAAACTGCAGAAAGAGCGGGTATAGAATGTGAAGAAAGGCGTTGTTTCTTGCTGAATGTGAGCCTTGTGGTGTTATAGTGTGGTACAGCCAAAACATCCGGACGTTTTTGTGTTACCAAGGGTAAAGCACTTGAACTGGAATGACTGGGGTAGGCAGGGGCGGGTAGCCTGGATGCCAGACACGTACACCGCCACGACACTATGTTCCCTTCGCCCTAGCTGTAGCCTGGGTGCCAGGCTGTTTCCATGGCCTACACAGGCCAGTTCCTTGGCTCCAGTACCAACATATTCCCAAGGAAATTATACCAAAAAATGCAAGATACGTCAAAAACAGTTACTTAAGTAAAGCAACTGGATTAGTATCCACTACCTTTCGTCAGTGACTCTTGTTTCCAAAATCATATTCAGCTGCTTGAGTAACTGTTTTTTTTGGGCGCAAAGAAAAGGTGGCTGACACATTTCAGAAAATCCGACAACGTTTCGACCTCGCGTGTTGGAAGAACATTCTTGAGTCATGTCCTTTCTACTCCTGGCATAACCCTCGTCTGAGCAATTTTCATGCATGGTGCTTTCCTAATAGTGCGCAGAGCCTAACACACGGTCTGCTTCATACAAACGCATTCTGACTCGCAAAGACTGTCAGGCGCTTGTGACTGTAGAAAATGGTTACATTTTTGCGATGCCAGTACCATTCAACGGGAGGTTGCGAGTTCCGTAACGCTACATTTCATGTCGCACTTTCTTGGCAGTATAATGAGCACAATGTTGACAGAAAGCTCCTGAAATATCTTTCCTTCGCTCTCTTTTTGAGGCATGGTAATATTTTGTCGCTACTGTGGTTTAAAAATAAAAGAAAGACGTATATGTAAATAGATAAATATTGTGCATTGCTCTCTAAGTAAAAGTTTACAGGGATGCACATGCTTTGTCGGCAACAAGATATCCAGGGGTACAGCCCAGCCTACATTAATATCTCCAAGCAGATCATATGGTGGCAAGGCAGTATCCATTGGCACTCCTCAGGCCAATGGGTACTGCCTTGCCACCGTATGATCTGGTCGGAGATTAGCCTACATCACAACACAAAGGATGTATGTCAAGTATGCTTGTCGTTCAACGCCTATCTGACAGGGGGCGCATGACTTCCTATGTTACACCCTGCGGCAACAGGTGTCCTGGATAGCGTGCGCGCCCCGCGTGTTTGGTCACGGTTTTCTCATGTCAGCGTAACAGCAACAGGTGGTTCGTGTGAAGGACTCAGGCGCTAAACTTAGCAGCCACAAAAACACGTTAGTCTCGCAACGGGCTTTTAAGACTGGTGGGACTTAAGTAGTCTCCACCAGGCTCCTTTGACAGCCATCTCTTGGCACGCGCTGCAAATAATCAACAGGTAGTTTATGCGAAATACCGAAGCTCCAAACGTAGCTGAAACAGAAATGCGCTAGTCTGACTTTTAAGACTGATTGGCTTTAGAGCTAATGCCCTTTTGGCGGCCATATATGGGAACGCACAATCAACTGATGGTTCATGTGAAATACTGAGGCTCTACATATATACATACATACATACATACATACATACATGTACTTTGTAACGAAATCACCAGAAAATTGACTTTTTGTATCGTCCCAATGTTACACAATGCAGCTTTTAGAATCGTCAAAACTACAGGATTTCCTACTTAGTGACGCCGAATGACTGTAACCATGCGCATATAAACGAACTGCCAATAACATTCACTCACCAGCCGATGCCAGCGCACGTAAAGGTCCATATCAAAGCTCAGACACACACGAACCAAACATCATCTGATCTCCTTAAATTTACCAAACGATCCTACGATCTTGATAATGCTCAATAAATGGTCTATTAAACAGCAGTGGATCTTTACATCATCAGAGACTCCCGACACCATAGGACACACGAACCGGGTACAGCTAATATCTGTAAATTTACCAAAGATCTTGAGATACGGGCACGCATAATAAATAGTCTCTTAAACATCATCAATGTTAAATTAGTCATTTTTGTATAACAAATGTGACATGGGTACTGACAAAAACAAGTAGGGCTTAACACACGAACTTAAGAATACTTCACACTAAGAAAAGTTTTCGCCACAACATGGTTATCACGATAATGAACCTGGGATCAAAAATCTTAACTTTCAATGGGGCAATCGTGATAGTTCAATGTGGTACTCAACAGTACAATAGACCTGGGAACACACGAACTTAACCTTTCTCAAACAAGCAAATTTACTCATCTGACAAGAACAATTAGTTGTCCATAAGGCAGCGATTGCTTCTCAGCGTGTCCGGCAAAGTCCGTGCGAAGGTATTTATTGCAATTTGCAGTTTGTTGTTGATTTTGGTTATCGGCAAATCTTCAATAGAAATTTTGCGAAACCGTTTAACATAGCTGTACAACTGGTCCGTTGCCATGTGTGTCTAAGACAATGTAGTTTAAGTGTGAAAACTTTTGTATACTATTAGGTTTCTTTCTAACCTTCTATCTGTACTATGATATGCCTTATTTTTGCAGCCATTAAATGCTTAATAGAATATGTTAATGATATTAACTGTTATCTGTTTTAAAAATCTAAATACTATACCTTTGCGATGTTGTAGTTTTTCATCATCATTTGCCATTTCTATCAAGGATTGTTGGGACTGCTTTTTCTGTTTTGAATCTTTGAGAAGGAGTATGGGAAGGTCAAACACACACTACCAGCGGGCTAGCCCCCTGGTAGTGCTTGCACAACTTTGTGGCCCTAGGACTGCAAAAAAGGGAGATGGGCGCCCCCCTTATGCTCCATATGTATTGAAACGGAAATTTGTAGTCAAAAGACTACTAAGATAAAAAAAACTCACAAAACCTACAAGCTAAGATTGGAAGTTTACAGAACCCCACACCAAGCGGTCGATATATAAGTTGTTTTGAACCCACTAAAGTGCCGTTTGATTGCTTTTATCGATACATTATCGCCAATACAAGCATTAGTAGGGGCTTAAAAACAAAAGACAACCGGCAATTTAGATAGAAACAATCGATGAAAGGTTGCTCTTGTTATCAGCAACCGTAAAATGACCGGTCAAGGCTCGAAAACGAGCGCAAATGTTCTCAAAGATCACGTATTACAAACACAGCGTTTACTGGTGTTAATAAAATTGCCCTAAAATCGCTCTTATCAGATTCAAACAATGGTATATAAGCTAGTGCTATAACTTACAACCCATATTGTGTCAGAAGAACAACTACCCTAACAAATATCGGAGTTACTATGAACAGTCTACTTTGTGAGGATAAAAGAAAATCCTACCATAAAAGACTTTTAAAAATCGCCCGTCCGACTTCCTACTTGAGTTGTAGACCAAACAACCTTATGGCAATCGTAATCTCCAGGCAGATCTTTTGGTACCCTGGCCAATTGGATATTGCAAAGAAGCATAAAAATGGCCAGGCAGTACGAGTATCCATTTGCTAGGCAGTCACCATTTGCCATTTGAACTGACATAA